GCCGCGAACAGATGGACAGGACAAAACAAAAGTTACCAACTATCGACCAATTACGATAAGCTCGATTCTGAGTAGATTATTCTGGGGGATAATCGACCAGAAACTAAGAAAAGAGGTGACAATGACGCCCCGTCAGAAGGGCTTTACGACGGAGGCAGGATGCTTCAATAACATACACATCCTAAGTGAGTTGCTGAGGCACTCAAAAATGACAGAAGGCCTGGTCGCAATGCAGCTGGACGTCTCCAAGGCGTTCGACACAATACCGCACGAAGCCATTGGAGCTGCGCTGCGTAAAAAGGGGCTGCCCGAGTTAGTGGTACGACTCGTGACAGACTCCTACAAGGATGTGTATACACTGTATACGACCATCAGAAACAAAGAGGAGAGAATAGAAATAAAAATCCAACGCGGGGTCAAGCAGGGAGACCCCCTCTCTCCTCTTTTATTCAACTTGGTGATGGAGCCCATGTTGAAAGCGTTGGAAAGTCAGCCTGGGTACACAATCAATAATGATACAAGCGTATCAGCACTGGCATTCGCAGACGACATAATCCTTACGGCACAAAATGTACCACAAGCCAGAAATCTGCTCAGAAGCGCGGAGACCTACCTAAGGGGGCTAGGTATGAGAGTCTCCGCGGAGAAATGCTCAACATTCATGATCAAGCCGACCAAAGACTCCTGGTACCTGGCAGATCCCGGGCTGACACTACTAAGTGGAGATGGTATCCCGTACGCGGATGCGGGTACCACAATAAAATACCTGGGTGTGAGAATATCTCCTTGGGCTGGAATAGATATAAAGGGCCTAAAGGATAATCTCTGCTCAGCGCTCCAACGCATCAAAAAGTTGGCGCTGAAACCACCCCAGAAGGTCCAGATCATCTCCACATACCTAGTCCCACACTACTGTATCAGTTGGTACTGGCGGCGCCACCAGTAACCTATCTTAGGCAACTAGACCAGGAGCTACGGGTGGTGATCAAGGACATCTACCACTTGCCGCAATCAACAGCCAACGGATTACTATACTGCGGCAAGAGAGACGGGGGACTAGGATTCCCTAAGCTGGAAACTTTGGTGGTGGGTTCCAGCTTACGGGCTGGACTAAAATTCACGGAGTCCGAAGACTCCGTGATGCGAGCTCTAGCGGAGGCTGCAGGCATGGTGAACCGTCTCAAGAGTCTAGTGGCCTCCGCTCGAATAAACTGGCCAACCAATATGGACGCCATCAAAAGGTACAAGGCCAAGATGCGCAAACAAGAGCTCGCAGCATGGGCAGCTCTGGTGTCGCAAGGAAAGTCGGTTGAGTCTCTCACCGACGATAAGTTTGGAAATGCTTGGCTCTATAAACCGTCGCTCCTAAAGCCATGCAGATTCATAACGGCCCTCAAAATGCGCACCAACACCACCGCAAACAGAGTCAACTTAAATAGAGCTGGCCCGATGGCGGACGTGAGACGTAGAAAGTGCAAGAGTAAGCCTGAAACTCTCGCACACATCCTGGGGCAGTGCACTATCATGAAGGAACACACGATCCGCCGCCACGACGAGATAGTTAATCTACTCGTCGACAAAGTCACAAGCAGAGACAAAGAGGTAGCAGTAACGAGGGAAACAACTTACAGGCCACCCTCGGACGGGAATCTCAAACCCGATCTGGTAATACAGAGCCGGAAAGGGGTCTTAGTGGTCGATGTTACGGTCCGCCACGAAGACAATGATTACCTTGTTCAGGGACACAAAGACAAAGTTAGAAAATATAGCCGACTGCTACCTCACCTGCAGCGCGACCTAGGAGCTTGCGCTGCAGAAGTCCTACCAATCGTGGTGGGAATGCGAGGAGCAATGCCCAAGGAGACAGTCAGAAACTTGGCGAAATTAGGAATCTCAGACTGCAAGATGCTCATCACAATATCGTTGATAGCGCTACGTAATTCCATCGAGCAATACCACATGTTCATGGATTACGATGCTCCTCGCGTGCCGGCGGAGGCCCCCAGCTCCGTCGGATAAAAACTTCCAACCCAATAGCCTCTCAGCCAACTGACGCACTACGGGCAGACGTGGGTTACTGTACACTGTAGTTGTCCTAATTTATTTAATTAATTAATTTATTTATTTATCACGCAATGGGCGGGCAATCTACACCCAACCTTGCGAAGGATCCTCTGACCCGGCGCTGGCAGTGAACAGGCTCTATACACCGCAACCGCAGCAGCGTCTTTTACTACAAGACTAATCGAGACTAACCAACGACTAATCAAGACCAATCAAGACTAGTCATAACTATTTATCATATATTTATTGAACATACATGGTTTGTCCCAAAAGTCATGAAATATACTTTTTTGCCGCGCCCCTACTGGTCGCAGCGTGTTCGGACCGGTTGGGTGAGGTGGGGGGGACTCTTAGCTTCATTTCGCACTAACGTGCAGTCTGCTGCAACAATCAGAAGCATCAGAATAGCTGATTAAGTGCACCCTCGTTTCGACATCACGTCACGACGCGCGATGGCGGATACTTCCGAACAACGTTGCGCGATCAAATTTTGCACAAAACTCGTTAAAAAAGCTGCCGAAACTCACAGTGCGTTTTCCTTTCAATTTTGCCGTTTATATGGTCTGTATAATAGATTCAGACGCCGAGCTCACATCTAAAGAATCTGAAACTCCTGCTGTACTTGCAAGTGACTGCCCAGCTGAGTTCTGACTATTAGAAGCATTAGATTCAACATCTGCGAAAAAAATTACACGTGATGTAATTGATGTTAATTCCATTTCACAGTATTACCAAAAAATTGTTTGTACTTTTCAAGAAACAAATAATTATCACTGCTCCACATACTAGACGGCGACAGCAACTCTGAAGTTTGAGGTGACAAAATTGACCTAATTGCAGGTGGCGAAGGGGGGTCGAGCTAGAGTTGACCTGAATACAGGTGGTGACGGTGAGGGAGAGGGTCGGGCAAACACAGGTGAAGCTCTGTCAGCTTCAAAATTGGGCCTCACAACTGTAGCCGTCTGACTTTTTGGCAAAGCATTCGTACTGTAGCTACTTGACGTTCTGGAAAATAGATCAAAACATAATATGACCCAGTTTGTCCAAATATATCTGTACTATGCACATAAAATAAAACACATACTTGCGTGCAACAATATGGTCTGCCAGAAACATACATTCCTCATACAATGGCCATGTGGGTACATATGGTGCCATCGCTCCCTGTCCTGACTTCCCCTTTAGTGACACTAGTACTTTTCGCTTTTCTCTGCCGAAGCGTTGGCGAATATTATAAAACAATTTACAAGCCTCTGGTCCTAAAAATCAAACAAATATGAATCTGCAGGACAACGTAACTTAATCTAACTTCTTATGTCACAAAAATACATTTTGCGATTTTTAGCCTACCTGATTGGGGGTT